ATATGGTTTGATTTTATGATTGGATTAATTTAATTTGGGGATTTTGTTTTGTTAAGCTTGTTAAAGAACCTTATGTGTTAGTGACAACTATTTTCTGTTAGTTAACCAGTAATTAAGTTGCATGAACATCTCTTAGTTGCTAATCTCATATGATTTATGTGAAAACATTGTTATATGCCTAGGAATAGCGTACGTGAAACTTGGGTTAACTAGAAAATAGGTACGTTAATGTATGAGCTTGTGTGATGAACCATCAACAAGGAGTTAATTGAATTAACATATTTAGTTAGCTCATTACAAGTCTTACTTAACCTGAATCAATAAACTAGGAAATCTATTAGTTTAATCACTTGATCACTGCTTGAATTAATTTATTTTCTAAGGATTCGTAATAGCGAACATGAACCTAATCACACTAATCAGTAGCCAAAGCCAATTAATCCATTCCACTTGCCATAAAATCAACCATAGGAATAAATGATTCAAGCCTAAAAAGAAGTCTCGTCCATTATTGAATCTAGTTGTCTATTCTTTCTCCTTAGTTGTTAATTGTCCTTTGTTAAGGATTCTAAGTACCTGCTTAAGTTTCTAGTCTTGTAAAACTTGAGAAAAACCCTTCTTTTTACTTGTTTTATTTAGATGATATTAGTAATAATCTTAATTGTTTACGCTTCCCTGTGTTCGATACCCTACTTACCTGAACTAAGTTGCTAATCGATAGGTACACTACCTTTCCTGTATTTGTTTCTGTGTCTAAGTTAGTAGGATTAAAACTAGTACATTCCACACATCAAGTTTTTAGCGCCGTTGTCGGGAAACGGTTCAAATAGTTAATTTTATTTGCTAATTTTTATCATTTTTACTTTTTATTATAGTCTAATTTTTATTTTTATTTTAATTTATTATGTATTTTCCAAATCTCGATGCTTTTGATGCTTTTCATAAAGAATTAGTACAAGAAATTGAGCAAGAAGATGAGGAGTATGACTCAGATGAAGATTTGATGAAATTCGGAAGATGGTTAGATAACATCCTGTCTAACGAAAAAGAGCAATTTGAGTCATAAAAGATAGATTTAGAAAATGAAGCATTTAATCTAGAAAGTGACATGAAGGAGCTGGAAAGATTTCTGGTAGATGGGTCAGACGAAGAATAAGAACAAGTTAAGTTGCAGGAACCAAACCGTGGATTGACCATTACCACGACGTGGCCCCCTGTTTTTCCAGTTTTTGTTTCAAAGCATGGACTGACGATTCCAACTTTGGAGAAAGTTCTGAAGCACGATCCATTTCTGATTAGTAAGCAACATGTCCTAACCCTTGTCATAATCCTTGGGTTTTATGTATTCAAGCTTATTTAGCCAATTTTAGAAGCAAAGATTCGAACTTTACAAATTAGTGCAAAAAGATATTTAATGCAATGGATGGATGGGCACCAACTTTATTTAAATTTTATTAAGTTGAGAGTCCAGCTAAAGACTCGCACAAAAAGAAGCCCTTTCGGGAGGCAACCCGTCATTTGAGTTTGCTTTTCTTTTCCTTTTTCTTCTACTATTTAGGGATAGTTTAGGATTTTAATTTTGATGTTTTTTTTCCTTTTTATTACATGGTTGTTTTCTTTGATCTTTTCAGAAGCTAGAGTGAGATTATAGCGATTTTTTAAAGCGTGAGGGAATTAAAGTGAGGGGTCGAGTCGTTTACGAGAAGATTAGAAGATTTGAGTGATTTGTTGAGTCCTATAGTTTTAATGGTTAAAAGGAGTCTAATAACTGAAGAGTATAAGGAGGTGTATTACCTTAATACCCTCTTTGACCACAATTAGAATTGAAGCAGAAAGAAGAAAATTCACGTCCAACACCTTAAACAAGTCGAGTGCACATCTAAACTCGACGAGTTCCAGAAGAAATTCACGTTTTTTCCTGAGTTACGATCCAATTCAACCAGTATTCACTTACAACTCGGCAAGTTGCTCAGTTAATTTTCTTTCAAGTTTTCGATTTGATTCCATTCAAGGCGGGCATTGGCAATATTTTTTGAAGTTTTCCAAGAAGCTCTTTCCTGAATATTTAGAGCTATCAACCACACGAGATTTTGACACCCACGGCGTGGATGAGCTGTTCGCATGCCTAAAGTCAGCTGTAGATGGAGCTAAATTGAAGAAGATCACCCTCGCTACTACTATCCTAGGGGAGTTTGTTCCAGTTCTCTCTTTTCTTTTATGTTCTTTATCATGCATAACATGCAATAGGGTCATTGCATTAATTAAGTGTGGGGTAGGGGGTTGGTTACATTAGTTGAAATTTTGATAATTTTGCATTAAAATAGCTAGGTCTAAATTAGAAAATTATGGTAAAAGCAATTAGGAATCATGCTAGTATTGTGTTTGATGATTTTATGAAGAACCCAAATGTTTAGTTGAGCCTATACACATTATAATGAATTTGTGTCCCACTTTATTCTAGTGAAATCATGGGACAAAAACATAACCATGATTAGTTTGAGGGATGCACCATGTTTAGCTTTGTTTACCATAAATGTATCCAGGAAGACTAATACGTTAACCAATAAAGGTTGAAGTCAAGTGCCCTTGCTTAAGCATGTGGGGTATGAGTGAAAAAAAAAATGAGTTACATGTGAAAAAAAAAGAGAGAGAATTACAAGAAAAGTTGTAAGAATTTTGAAGCAATAAAAGTGAGCATCAAAAGATCAAAATTCCAAAGATTCAAAAAGTTGAAGATACCAAAAATTAAAAAAGGTGGTGAATTCAAAGAAATCAAGATCAAATTATCAAAGAAATGAAGAATTCCAATAGCTCCATAGTGGTATCAAAAAGTTGTAATTTTCTAGATTTTGTATGCCTGGATTGCTTGACCAAAAATACCTAGAGGTTAAGAAAGTTTTATGGGGATGGATTCAGAGGGATGCATAAAATGAGCGTTGTTCAAATTAAGTGGGCGAGTGTTTATGAAGATTGTAAGTATTTAGAATTAAGGAGGACCTTTAGGAAAAATTTTAGACACGAATGTATGCGTTGCGGTTTTGGCATAATGCTCGGGTTCGATTGCGATTGTCTTATGTGGTATTAGTATGTTAAAATTCAGTTTTGCTTGGGGGCAAGCAAAAGTCAACTGTGGGGTATTTTGATATAGGCATATTTACTTATAAAACTCACGCATTATCTTAATACTTTATATTGATTTTATCTCATTAAATGAACAAAATGTGCTTAATTAGTTTATAATTTCATTTTTCAGCAACAATGAAATGTTCGGATGGAAAAGGAAGCGGATTTAGCAATTGGGAGCTTGGATCTTGGATTTTGAAAAAAGAAGGATGTTGCTAGATAGCTTGAACCATTGTCAGTGTTTTGGCCATATCTCATGTATCGTAACTCCGGTTTACGAGATTCAAAATGTTATGAAAACTAGACACAATTTCGGACGACTTTCTTGTTTTGAGAAAATGTTTATTCCAAACAGACTCGATGGGTTGATCCTGAACTCGACGAGTGGATCAGAAAGTTGACGATTCTCGACGCTGACTTGCCGTACACGGGATTTTAAGTGATGGACTCGCCGAGTCGGTCATTGGACTCACCAAGTCGCCCATATTTTCAGAATTTATGTAGAAACGCTTCTCGTTCGAACCCTAACGAATGGTGGAAGTTTAGGATGATTTTTGGAGGCCAGAATGGTTCTTAAAAGTTGTGGTTTTCGAGATTTCAACTTAGATATCAATTTGGAAGAATATCAAAGGCAATAACACATTACATTTATATTAATATTTTGCATGAACCATGTTTCAATCATTATATTATGTTTTTAGTTTGTTATTTTCTGTAGATGTGAGCTAAAATCTCATAACTTCTGTTTAGGATGGATGATTTTATGAATATGGTTTGATTTTATGATTGGATTAATTTAATTTGGTGATTTTTTTGTTAAGCTTGTTAAAGAACCTTATGTGTTAATTACAATTATTTTATGTTAGTTAACCAGTAATTAAGTTGCATGAACATCTCCTTGTAATGTTTTGTTAAAGAACGTGAAACTAGGGTTAACTAGAAAATAGGTACGTTAATGTGTGAGCTTGTGTGACGAACCATTAAAAAGGAGTTAATTGAATTACCTTTTTTGATTAGTGCATTACAAGTCTTACTTAACCAGAATCAATAAACTAGGAAATCTATTAGTTTAATCACTTGATCATTGGTTGAATTAATTTGTTTTCTAAGGGTTAGTAATAGCGAACGTGAACCTAATCACACTAATCGGTAGCCAAAGAAAATCAATCCATTGCACTTGCCATAAAATCAATCATAGAAATAAATGATTCAAACCTAAATAGAAGTCTCCTCCATTATTCAATCTAGTTGTCTTTTGTTTCTCTTTAGTTGTTAATTTTCCTTTGTTAAAGAGTTTAAGTAGCTGCTTATGTTTCTAGTCTTGTAAAACTGGAAAAAAACCCTTCTTTTTACTTGTTTTATTTAGATGATATTAGTAATAATCTTAATTGTTTACCGTTCACTGTATTCGATACCCTACTTACCTGAATGAATCTGCTAATCAATAGGTACACTACCGTTCTTGTGTTTGTTTTTGTGTCTAAGTTGGTAGGATTAAAACTAGTGCATTCCACACACATCTTAAAAATTCTTCAACTTTCTTAAACGCCTTGTCATCCTTCTCAGACTTAACTTTTAGATCCTATGAATAATATTTGTTGAAAACAACGATATCTTTGATCAAACGAGTTGTTTCTTCATCTATAACCTCAACCTTTTGATGCAACAAATTGTAATTATCATCTAACTTCTTAAGCTCTTTATCCATCAAGGTTTAAAGCTCATTAACCTGAAGCTCAAGTGAAGCCTTTGTATCAGACACTTGTTTCTCATGAATTTCATGACGTTCTTTAGCCACATCATGAAATTTCGAAAGTTCATGATCAACATTTCTTGATTGAGTGTCCATCCTATCTTCAAATCTTTTATCAACATTTTCAAAAAAAAGTTTTCAATCGAGACTCTTGATACTTCAAAAGATATTCCACTTCAACACCACTAACTGAATTCTTTCTTCCAGTGTCAGCCAAAAATTGAAGTATCGAATTCATCTTAGAGTTTAGAATCTTGAATTTCTTACCCGACATGATAAAATTATCAAGTATATCTTCTTCATCTGGATTGAATTGCAACTCGGCAAAGGAAACCATGGCATCATCTTCATTTACTTCATGTTCAGTAATGTTTTTCTCATGGTTTGTCAATTGAGAAAAGAAAAGTGTAGCTATAGGTTCTTGCATTATACCAACAAAAGTTAGAGAAATTGCAGTAGTAGAAAATGGTGGAGTAAGTGATGTAAGTGGTGGAGAAGATGGTTTTTGTGGAGGAACTATAACATCTTGTTCTTCTAGGTATTTAACCTTTTCCCCTTAGTGTTTGATTATTTTCATAGTGGACCTTTATGGAATTTTCCTATTTTTGGGGGCATCATGGGTACATTTGTGTACATGTTGGTACGTTGGAAGTATCGGGTCTCACACAAGTATGTTGATCGTATGCTACTACTCAGGGCGTACGTGGCTTGGATCAAACGCTAATATTTAGGGTTTGTGCACTATTTAAACACCCTTATAACCCCAAAACCCTTCTTCCTATCAACCTTCATCCCTTATATTGACCCCCTTGCAAACCCAAACCCATTTTGAGTGAGTTGTGGGTATTTTTTTGTGAAGGAAGATCATCACAGAAGTGGTTTTGCTCTCAAGTCCTTGGATCCAACATTTTCTCTTCATTATACAACATTTGGAGGTATAAAGCTCCAATCTTGATTCATGTCTCTCTAGATATTGGTTAAGCATAAATTATTATCCCTTTTGTCCTAAAACCTAGGTCTTTTGAGTATAAGGTACTCTAAAGTAGGTATACAAGTGGGTCGAAACCCAGACCGGAATCACCCGGACCTAGAAAAACTGGAATCGGTTAACATTATGCTTTTCATTTGGGCCGAATGGGAAGCAAAAAATGACCTTTTTGCCCCTAAGTAGGATATTGGGATTATTGGACCATTTATTATGGGTTTAAAAACCCATATTATTGATTAGGATTTTTTAGGGATTTAATTAGTGTAATGAGCCGTATTAGTAGCAGCTCGAGTGTGTGGCTCAATTATCTTCTTTTGGAGGTGAGTCTCCTCACTATATCCATGGTTGAAAGCATAAATGTCGGTGCATTACTTTGTTATGTAGAATGCAATTTTTCTCTGTGATATTGTAAGAAAGACCAGGATTTGGCCACCGGCAATTGCATGAATGACCAGGATTTGGCCCCTGGAAATTGTAAGAAAGACCGAGATCTGGTCACTGGAAATTGCATGAAAGACTAGGATGTCACTCCTAGAAATCGTATGAAAGATCAGGATCTAGCCCCTGGCATTTGTATGAAAGACTGGGATTTGCCCCTCGACATTGTAAGGAAAGACCATGATTTGGCCCATGGCAGAAACTGACCGTAAGACTATGATTTGGTCCAAAGAATTTGTTATATTGTGTGTGGTATGTGGTTCTTTGGGGAACTCGCAAAGCTCTCTAATTATAGTTCTGTTTATGGTCGTTTCAGGTACTTCTGGTTTGAAAGGGAAGGGCCCGGAAAGATAGAACAACATCCTCCCCTCATGATTTTCACATTCCGAATAATTTTACTCTGATGTTTTGAATATTATAATTGGGTGTTTGATTTTGAACAATTTACGATGAATTGATAAACTTCCAAATGAAAATTTTTATCACTGTTTTTTTCGGACGTTACAGGAACAACAATTGTTTTGAATGTAGTGGTAGTAGCGGTTTCGAAAGTCTTTATCTGTTGACCCATATTCACATTTATCTGCTTTTTAGATAAGTTCTTAGTGATGTCTATAGTTTTAACCTCCTCCAAACAAGACATGGTATTCGAACCCTTGGGTGGTATGACTTTCGTCTGCTCAGGGATCCTTGTAGTTTGTTGTGCACCATAATTGATGTTTACACCCGTATCAAATACGTTTACACTAACATCAAGATTACTTGTCTCCTTGAAAATCGGCTTGATAGAGGTATCCCTTTGTGGGACACATGATATGGACCTCTGATTTTCTATATCTGTATCATCACTTTCATGATCTGATTCGACAACTACATCCGCTTTCTTATTCTCAACATGAGTTTGCTTTCGCTTCTTTAATTTGTGAACCACTTCCAAGGAACTTGTCTTTCGTGATGCAGGAGAACTAGGAGACGAAAGCTTTTGAATCGCAACTCCTCTTTGTGTAAAATGTAGCTTTTTAACTCTTTTTGAACCACTCTTTTTGCATCTTGTTCACCTTCTTGTGTAATTGTATTTTTACTAGTAGAAAGATTCACTAAGGGACTTGTCTATGCTATTGTCTCAACAATTTCGACAAATGGCTCTTCCGTTGGTTTCATGGTTTCACAATTAGAAGGTTTCTTAGCAGATTTCTTAGTTCTTTTGAGTACCCCTTTACCAATATTTGTGGGTATAGTCTCTTTAAGCCCTTCTTTGTGTACTTCTTTTTCCTTGTCATCTTGTTTTTTTTTTACCCTTATATGCTTTCCATGTACCTTCAACACCCTTAGATTTAGCCTTTGGTGGAAAATACCAGATGAAGTAGAATCCATTGAAGCTTGGTATTGAATTAGTAACTAGTGCGTAGGATTAACTAATTTGAGCATCGAATCAGAAATCCTAGCAACAAATGGAAATATTGTAACATCATCCACCATGACCTTTGGAACCAACATTGATGGAAACTCTGTTGTATCAACATCATTAGGAAACAATGTATTTTCCTGAATATATACTTCCCTTAGAATCAACCACCAAAAGCTAGCACTCGAAACACATAATGCTATTTTGGAATGAGAAATAGAAGTCCCAAATTCTTCCTATAATAATGATGCATAATCAACATCAAGTCCATAGTATACCATAACCATAATCGAATAAACTTCAAGTTTCACCTTGTCCAATCCTGAAATTCTTTTTGTTAAACATCGAAGAATAATTCCAAACATGAAACTCCAAATACATGGAAAATTGGACTTCTTGAATTAATTAATAACTGATAAAGTGGGTTGATGACCCATCTCCTTGAACATGTTAATGATTTGCTCAGTAGTAACATCATAAAATGTATGTATAGATGGTAACTATAAGATTTGGGAAAATTGCTTCTTGGTTAACTTCTTCGTTTTATTGGACATCAATTGAAACATAACAATCTTCATCTTTTTGTTATGCAGAACAGTAGAAGCCACCAAAGAGAGACATTGCATCGGGATTACAATGGTTGGTGATAAAGTAGGATGAAGAACATAATTGTTCAAAACCAATATGATCATTCATATTTCTTCAGAATAAGCATCAAGAAACATATTAATCCACAAATTAGTGCGTTGAATCTTCATCATCGGTTGTGAAATCTCTTCATCATTAGTTTTGAATTGATTAACAACATGTTGCTCAGTAGTCATTTTGAAAACTTTGGAGAGAAAATTGTGCGATGAAAGTTAGGGTTCTTCAGATAATTCTTAGAGCATAAACTTGAAATTGGAATGAACTGTTTCCGTAAGTAACTGGCATGAAGTTTGAATTCAAATCATTTGCCAATCAGATAACTCCACGTGGAATATGAGTAACTTAACCATCACTTTTAAAAATTTCCACATATAAAAGTAATAATCACTTTTTGCCTCGAGTCTCGTGAAAATATTGAACGTCACATCCATCGGATCTTTCGTATCTCCCAACAAAAAATGAACCACCACCATTCTTTGTTATGGAGGATAGGCTTATTTCATACAAAAATTTTTACAACTGGATCTATTGGGTAGAACCGACTTGGGATAAGTACATTTCATTAAGATCAATAAATGGAAATGAAAATGAGATTTTGAACATCAAAAGTGGTACATTGAAACAAATGTTTCGTGATAATTTTGAACATTAAATGTTCACCGCCAATTCATTAAGTTGAGGTTTGTTGGCTTTCACCTTCATCACAGAAAAATGATTTAAAATCATGAACACATATTCGTGACATACCTATATCCTGGTTGATTTCAGCCAGCGATGTCTTGGGCATGTGTCTTTGTGTGTGATCGTGTTAGAAATTTTGGATGAAAATTTTTGGATATGAAGACTCATTGTACTTCTGCAAATAATTATACTTAGAAGAAATATATTTACTCTTCATGAGAAGAGAAAGGTAGCTCGTAGACTAATGTGAATACATCCGAATTGGTTAGAAACTTTGATGTGAAAATTTTCATTAAGGCTTCGAACACAAAGAGTCTAAAAGACTTGTGGACAACATGCTGCAATATGCTTCTATGGACACCTAACTAGGAAAAAAGTTTCATTTCATACATGTTTCGTTTGAATATTCTCATTTGGCATGCTAAGGAACAACGTGTTACAATGAGCTTCCAATGTAAGGAAAATAGTTTTGTGTTTTTTTTAATAAAAGTCAAATAGAACAAAAATATTTTTGGATTTTTTTATTTTGTAAATGCAAAACAAAAATAATTTTTTTTTGTATTTTTGAATTTTATAAACGAAAGGACAAAAATAAGAAAATCCTTTTGGATTTTTGAATTTTATAAATGAAAGGCCAAAAATAAGAAAATCTTTTTGGATTTTCGAATTTTATAAACGAAAGGAAAAAAAGCAAGAAAATGATATGAGAAACAATGGATATTTGTGAGAGATAAAAAATACATCGTACACGAACTATTGTTTTCTTGTTTCCAAAGAAATATCCCATAGTCGAATGCTCGCCAAAGACATGTACGTCCCATCGAAAGAGTAACTCCACACACAAAACTGGTAATAAATGAATAAGAGGAAAATCGAATGCGGTGGCATGCGAATGTAAGCATGAATAGTAACCTCTGAATAACTATCAAACATGTTACGAAAGTTAGTAAAATACACAAAACTGCTACCAACTATTCGAAAGTGATATAAACAATCAAAAGTAAATCCAACAGTCAAAAGTGATATCCAACAGTCGAAAGTGATATAGACAATCAAAACTCAATCCAAAAGGTTCACATATCAAATCCAAATATTATGTGAAATTTGGAACATAATTCTTAGCAAGTTGTTCCAATGGTTTTGTAAAAATATTAGCAAGTTGTTCAGTTGTTTTGATAAAATGGACTTCAATATTTCCATCCTCAACATGGTCTTTGACGAAATGGTAATAAAGAGCAATATGTTTAGTTTTTGAGTGTTGAACTGG